GACTAGGGTTTTTTTCAAAATTGTGGTGTGTGTTTTTTGTGCAATTGGTAATTGGCAAGTGACATTTGATGGGATATATATATTATATACATCTTCCATGCCAATTGCCAATCACATTGTGATTCCGTTTTGTGTTGTGGTGTTGTATTGATGCTCTTCATTTTTTGCAAGGGGGGATTTGGATTTTCCTGGTATTTTCATTTGTGGGCGAAAATGAAAACACAACCACAACAAAAGAAGGGTGAAAAAATGCTAATATCGTTCTTTCTCACTACAAATAGAACCTGTATGAGCTTCTTGGTACGGAATAACCCCCCTCCACTTTTTTTTTTTTTTTTTGAAAAGAAAAAAACCCCAAATTCCCTAACCAGCGCCTCCTTCCCACTCCTGCGCTGCCCTTTGAAATCGAGGAATATTCCTATAGACATCAGACACACATAATATGGTCCATTGGGAATCTTGAAATTCGATGCTAACATTCTGCAATTGCAGGTAATGACCCTGAAGAGGACTCCGATCGGGAACCATCACCACCCACCAGCGCTGTAACCAAGCCCGGCCCTCGATATGGGAAGCGTGAAGGCCCTTCCGAACCACCCCGTTCTGCCAACCCGGCTTTAGCGCGTCCTCGTGGAGGACGAGGTGGTCGATATGGGAATGAACAAGGTATGTCATTATTATATATTTGAGTTTTTCCAGGGGGGGTTTTTTTATTGTTGTTGTTTTGTGACTGTGTCAACAGACAATTCTAATGAACAGTCTTCTGTCTCCAGCATTCCGTGACCCTGAAGCCAGTGCGAGAGCAAACCGCAAAAAACCCGTCGATGCTCCTCTACCAGATGTCCCAACTGGTGTAGTGAAGAACCGCGATGCTCGCGGCAACCTCCTCCGTGAAGATCGCACCAACCGCTCGGACAGAACGTAAGCATTCCCATTTAACAAACTAACCAAGCCAGACTTTTCGTTTTTTAAACAATAAGAATGCGTTGCTAACAACACTCTCCTTCACAGCGAGACCACTAAGCAAGTCGAGCAAGGCTGGGGGGCCGCCAGCGGTGAATCCGCCTGGGAAGATGAACGGGCCGGCGCAGCCACTGCAAAGCGGGAGACCAAAGAAGGGCCCGGCGGCGACGCAGCCGCGAACGACGCTGAGGCCGCCGAAGCCGAAGACAAGGCCAAGTCCTACGCCGAGTACCTAGCCGAGCAGGCCGAGCAGCGCCGCGACGACCTTGGCGTCAAGGAAGCCCGCAAGCCCAACGAGGGCGTCAAGGCGGATAAGAAATGGGCGACGGCCAAGGCGTTAAAGCGCGACGAGGACGAGGAGGCCTACATCAAGGGCAAGGAGGAGAAGGCGCGGCGTGAGAAGGCCAGGAAGGAAAAAGCCTTTGTTGAGGTTGATATGCGCTTTGTCGAGCAGCCCCGTGGCAACCGTGGGGGCCGTGGAGGTGGCCGTGGAGGCGCTGGCGGCCGGGGCCGCGGCGGTGCACCCGGTGGTGCTGGCTATCGCGGCGGCCGTGGTGGTCCCGCTGCTGGCCCCAGCGTCGATGAGAAAAACTTCCCGGCCCTTGGTGGCAAATAGTTACTTTCTCTTTTCTGTTTGTACTGATAACCTGTATCCGTCTCCCCCTTTTTCCTTCCCCTTTTCTCTATCTGGCTGGCAGTTGGTGATTTTAAAGGAAGGAGAGGAGGAGGGTAAGGTATCCAAAAAAAAAGGAGAAGAGAAGCTTTAATAATCCTTTTGTATGTGTTTTGTTTTGATCTTTTTCTTTTTAATAACTTACTTAACTTTTTTACTTCTTTACTTTCTTTCTTTCTTTTGTCTTTTTGTTGTTTTTTGTTTTAATTTCCCCTTTTTTTTGCCTACATCTTTTTTTCCCACCCTCCACTTTTCTGTCTCATCTTCTCTCTCATATTGACTTGACTTTTCTTGCCTTGTCTTGGTGCTCTAAACCTCCAACTGCTCTTACTCAGCACAAAACAACAAAAAATTAACAAACGGAACAAGAATACCTTTTTGTCTTGAATTTTTCATTTTGTTTATTTATTTACTTTCCCCTTCCTGTGATACAAAAGACATCTCAAGATGAGGAGATCATGGGAGAGAGAGAGCGAGAGCGAGAGCGAGAGAGAGAGACAAAACATTGTACCCTTGTCTTTACTATATATATGTATGTGAATGGGGAAGGGAAGGAGGGGGGGGGAATCAATGTCTTGGATTTTATTTTATTTTATTTTTATTTATTTATATTATTTTTTTTTTTTTATTTTTATTTTTATTTTTATTTTTTTTTTCATTGAGATGTTCTTGGTTATTAAAAACATGTACACTGTACTCTGTATGCTACCTACACCTACCCACCTGTTTCATTTCTCTGTGTATGGAGTGGAGTGTTTTGTTGTTCTGTACAGAGTCAAACCAACAACAAACTTTTTAAAAAAGGAAAACAAGAAAAAAAAAAAAAAAAAAAAAAAAAAAAAATATTATTCCACTGTGAAATAAGGAGGTATCTAAACTTCTTACTTACTGGACCCAACTACTTGCTCCTAACCAAGAGAGAAGAAGGAAGCGGGCCAGCTCTAGCAACCAAAAATAACATGATGAAAACTAAAGCCGGGGCCAAAGACAAGACTAGGACAAGAAAAGTAATATGAGTATAAAGGGTGAGGGAATCGATACTTAAACGAGCTTCAATAGGCGGAATTAACTAAAAAATGAATGGAAAAGAAAATGAAAGGGAGGGAGGCCGCTTAACAATAGATCCATTCTAACAGAGTATAAAAAGTAAAAATAAACCTCACAATGAATCAGTGTATAGCTAGAACATGAACATGCCGAGACTGGAGACATGAAGATGAGGAAAAGGAAAAGGAAATCACGACGCGATGATTCTCTCTATCCGTCTCTGAGCAAGAAGTAGAAACATATCACTCGCAAATCCTAGTCAAGACACAGATTAATAGAGACTGACTGACTCTATGAAAGTACGACAAATAAAGCCAAAGACTAAGAGGCCAAAGCCAATACAAATAAGCGGTCTATACCCCTAAGGCTGGCGTAGTTGAAAGGAAAATCCATTCCGAAAAGCCAAATAATCCAGACATTGATACCAACGCCCAAGGAAAGGGATGCTTTCTAGCATACCCCCAGCCCCCCACCCCCCCTCTC